AGCAACATTGCCATGCCAACGCTGACTAAAAGAAACATTTAAATGAAATCTAAGTTGCACAAAGCATTGTAAGAGCCTTTTGTGACTCACAACTCATCAGTGATGCATTAGCACCCTCTGCTGACTAGATTTTCCAACAGCTCAGAATGTTTAGTAATGCTTTTCCTTTACCTTGTCTTTGTTTGTTTTAAGAACATAGTGTTTGTTTGGCGTTCGATTTTTCACACATAAATTAGTAAAAAATATTAGTAGAATGGTAATCAGAATGCATGGAATTCTCTAAAATTATTAACTTATGTTTCACTCCTCACCTCATATATGGCCATTAATGTTTCTATCTCTGTCCCTCTCTGACATCAATAAAAAGATAGTACAAAAAATAAACAACCTTTACAAAAATCCCAATTAAGAGACACAATCATGACTTAGTTAACTAGACTCCAAAGCACAGGAAATTTTTTTGTTGGAAATATTTCAGACGGAGACACGTATTGCCAGAAGCCACGGAAGACTCCACAAATTCCAGTGTCCTGGGATGGTCCCTCCGGGCACACAGCACTTTCTCATCCATTCGTCCCTGGAGGACAGCAGAGCGGCTCCTAGAAGTCCAGGTGAAGAGGAGGCGGAAGGAAGGCTCGCACGCTCACGCATCACTTCCTAATCCAGGGGGCAGCTCCCCGCACCAGGCAGCTCCCACTCGGAGCCTTCGCTCAACATCCCCCCACCCCACCCCCCCAGGATGCTCACGCCCGCCCAGAGCAGGGCTTGAGGGGGTCATGTGGGGGGATGTGAGCGAAGGCTCCTCCCTAGACTTCCCAGGGGACTAAAATTCAAACCCGGGGTGAAGAGTAAGGCTCCAGCCTGAAGCAGGGCTCGGTTCCGGGGAACCGGGACCAGGGCTCTCACTCCGCAGGCAGCAGTGGAATTCAGTCCCAGGCATTTGTTCAGCGGCTGCGCATCCGTGGGCTGCTGTTGGGGATCAGAACCAGCCTCACCAGATGTCATGCAGGAGCCAGGTTTTGGGGGGACTGGCAGTTTGGTCCGGATGGAGAGTCAGGACCAGGAGCATTTGAGGTGGATGTGCACTGAAGACTCCAGGCTGGGGTCTCAGGAGGAGAGGCCCGAGGGAAAGTGAATCGGGGCCACAAGGTTGGGGAGCAGGAGGGCACCCCAGAAGCCCTCTGCTCCTACCAGCCAGCTGGGCATGAGGTCAGAGCCGGGCAGAGGGATCTAGACTGGAGAGGATCTTCAGGGAGAACTGGAAAGAAGTCAGATGAGGAAGGACGGGCAGGGAGGAGGCCAGTGGTCACTCACCAGGACCCTGGGCTGGAAGGGAGATTTGGGGAGTCACCTGGTGGGGGGAAGCACTGAGAGGCCAGAGGGAGAGGGCTTCCAGTGGAGGGGGTATCTGGGCCCAAGGTGGCCAGTTTGGTAAGTCTGGGACTTGGAGGCGGGAGGAGGGGGGGGCGGTGACAGCAGGGCCCTGTTTTGCCACCCTGGAGAGTCACTGCGAGTGGACATCCACCTCAGAACCCCTTGAGAATCGTCGGGTCACCCTTTCATATTTAATTCCCTGCCTTAAAGCAGACATCCTGACTATGGCAGGGCGGGTGGCCAAGACCGGCCTTACTCCTGGGTGATCTTATCTGGCACCTGTCACATCCACAGGCTTCCTCTGGTTTTAAATGGCTATACCCTCGCCCTCTGAGTTCAAAGGCCCCTGACCATCCTCCCCACAGTCAGCGCCACAATGAGACCCAGACAGAAAGACCCCTGCCTAGTCTGGGCACCCCAAGACCAGGCCCTCCCCCTGCTGTTGACTCGGTGGAGCAAAGATTCCCCAGGCCAAGGCAGTGTCAGCTCAGAGTCCCAGAAGCCCCGGACCTGAATTTGCTGCCCACTTCCAGGCCTCTCTGGACTCTTCCAAGGCAGGTCAGCTGCTCTGGAGGCTAGGGAGGAGGGCCCCCCTCGCTCTCCTCACACTGCCCCGTCCTCCCAGCACCCCTGGAGAGGTGCACATGTGAGGGCTCAGCCCAGCCCCTCAGAGGGGGCGTAGTGCCAAAGGGCGGGCGTGGTGAGGACCTAGGCTAGCTGTTCTTGGACAGGCCCTTCTCCGTACTTGCTAATTGGTTCACCGAGTGGTGCCAGGACAGGCAGGGCATCACGCCACTGTACGGTGGAGAAACCAAAGCACATGTCTTGGGTGACCTCAGCCTCACCCAGTCCTCTCCAGGGCATTTTCTGCTGTGGGAGAGCTCTATGGTCACCTCTCACCCTCATGAACTCCACTGGGCTCATATAGGGGTGCCTGGCAGCTGTTCAAGGGCCTGCCAGCCCCAGGTGTCTCTGGGTGGGTGTTTTTCAGAGGCTGGAGGACACTGTCCTGAGCCCCACAGCCAGCAAAGAAGACCGGGCGCTGACCGTGCGTGGGGAAGGCTGGCAGGCCTCGCCCACCCCCCTGCCTGCCCGAATCCGTGAGATCGTGGCCAGCAGCCTGGGCGAGGAGCCACCCCAAGGTGAATAGAGGTGTCGAAAGAGGTGATGGGGGTGAGGGGACACCAGGAGAGCTGCCCGGCCATCAGCCGCAGTCCAGCTTCAGGGAGTCAAGCCCGAATTGTCCCCTACTGGGCCCCTGCTGGCCTGTCATCGTCCCGTGTGAAGGGCCACAGAACCACACCCTCCCATAGGAAGGCCCGGGGGGTCATGTGTCATACCCACTTTGTCCTCACTACTAGGCCACAGGGACCTGCCCAAGCCAGCACTGCATTTGTGTTTGTGAAACGTTTGTGAGCGCCAGTCTTGGTTTCATCCACATTTGTTTTTCATTAGATGAGGGAAAACCCTTAGGGTTGACACTCAGGAAACAGATGCTGATCAGCCCCCCTCCCCCATTCCATCCCCACCCCAAGAGCTGCTCACCCAACCCTGCAGGCCCCCTCGAGGCACCAGCTCATTGTCATGCTTTTCAGCTGAGGAACTGGCCCTGGGGCTGGGTTCCTGCACAGAGGCCACCCAGCCATTGGGCCTCAGAGGTGCTCATAACTCCAAACCAGTCTGGCACCCCCCTGGGTCCCAGGACCCCTTCTGAACTGAGGGTCCGTGCTGCCCTCTAAAGGAACTGAGAGCTCACTAGGGTGTATTAAGGAAAGAGAAACCCTGCGTGTGGTTGGAAAAGCAACTCATTATTCAGGGATGGGATCTGATTTCACTGAATCAGCAGTTCCCACTGTTTCCCAGGGCTGGGGCACCCCCACTCGTTGTAATTGGTTTGGGGCTCACCCTTGGCATCGGTTTGTGTTTGAGGTGAGGATGTTGTAAAAGGCAGGGAGGCAGGAGAAGGCCCACTGACGAGAGAGCAGGAGAGGCCCAGAGGGTGAAGTCTACCTCCCCCACATCTGGTCCCCTGGGTCAGAACAGCCTTCAGTGCCACCATAGGGACAGGGTGCTACGGCTGACCCCGGTGCCACCTGCAGGGGTGCGGGAGCCACCAGGAGCCTCAGCCCAGGTGCAGGAGGAGAGTGAGCTCCTGCAGGGGGAGCTGTCCCGGCTGGAGGACCTGCTGGCACAGGTGGGCGCAGAGCGGGACGAGCTGGCCAGCAGGTACCACATGGTCAGCGAGCGGGTAAGTGTTCATAATGGCACGTGGCAGACCGGGAGGAGGGGGGGCAGCCGGGCCCAGGTTGAAGCGGTCACCCATTGGGACTGGAAGTTGGACCAGTGGGACCAGCATCGAGTCTTAGGATGTACCTCAGCCACACAATCCAAACCCTGGGGTGGAGGTGGAAGGTGAGGGCAGGATGGTGCCAGGCCGCCCCAGGCTCACAGCCCAGCTAAGGCATTGAATTGTGCCCGCCTGCCCGAGAGCCCTGTGGGGGCGGCCTGATCAGTCCTGGCTGTTGGCCCAACGACTAGCCCAGGTGAGCCCAGCACCAGCCCTCAGTCAGCACCTGCCCCAGGAGGGAGGGCGGCAAGCGGAAGGAAGCAAGCCCTTTGGAGTCATGCTGAATTGGCCCCAATACTCAGACCCAGCTTGTGGAGAATTGGCTCAGCCCCAGCCCCCACCCCTCCTGACAGCTGAGGAACAGCTGTGACCCTTGGCCTGGGTCCTCCATCCTCTGTGCCTTCCAGGGTGTCCGGCAAGCTGCAGCCAGAGGCCGATTTGGTTACAAAGTCCGGGGGGTGGGAAGCGGGGGAAAGGCAGACTCCCATTGTGTATGTGGGGAAACTAAGGCAGGGAAGTGAATACTTACTCAGAGCCTCTCCCATTTCTGCCACCCCCAGACATGACGGCTTCTGAGGCATGACTGGGCAAAGGGGGGCCCAGCCCACAGTGTGGGGAGCTCAGAGGCCTTGCTGGGTTGGCCCAGCACCTGCCTTTGCTATCTTCAGAGACACCTTGCTCCATGTGTCTCTGGATAGATGATCCCACTTTCCAGATGAGCAAACAGAGGCTCAGAGCAGCCAGAGTGTCCAGGGCCCTGCTGCCGTTATTGGGGCTGAGACCACCACCAGTGACCAGTGCTCTGTGCTAAGTGCCCGAGGGCCCCAGGGTGGGGTGCCCTCTGCTCCGACTCCCACGCTGTGGACTCCTATTCTCATGGTTGCCTGCACCGCCCGGGGGCCCGGGGCAAGGCTGTGAGGCGAGGGTCCTTCTCCTGGGGTCCGGGGCGGGAGCACTTGGAGAACACTGTGAGCTCGCCTGCCCTCCCGGGGCTGTCTGTGGCCCGCTGGCCATGGGGGTGGGGGATGTTCCTAGCACAGGGTGGGGAGATGTTGGGAACCGGCCAGTGGGAATAGAGGCCGCAGAAATCCTGTGGACAGATTAGCAAACCTCATGAGTCAGATCTGAACTCACAGACTCAGCAGCTCAGCCCACGCCCGGGCTCCCTTGTTCAGCACCAACGAGGCTGAGCCTCCTGCAAGTTACCTGGGTGGGTGGGGGTCAGGGTGGCCGGTGTGACTGTTTCCTGATGTCCCCAACCCCAGTGGCAACCCTTGTCCCGTCCCTAGATCCATGTGGGACCTGTGGCCCCTCCTCTCTCACCCAGCTGGTGGCTGCGGAGGGGACACTCACCTCCCCACACACCTGCTCCCAGGTCCTCAGGTCATGCCACAGGTGTGGCCTCCGTTCTCCTGACCTTCATAGCTCTCAGCCCCCCACCACCTTGCCCGCAGGGCCTGAGTTCCCTCCCCCAGCACCCCAGACTGTGCTCTGAGTCAGCACATCTTGTAGGGACCTGCATCTGCTTTCCCCCTCAGAGCCCCAGGGTCCCCATCTGCTCAGGCTCTGGGGCAGGCCTGGCCCACCCATGGTGGGTGTGGTTCCTACTCACCTGCTGGCTGTGGTGCTGGGAGAAGCAGAGGTGTGAGCATAGGCAGGAGGGGCGGCCAGAGGGTGGGACCCCAAGCTCATTCACTGTCATAGGGTGACCCCAGGCCTGCTCTGCAACTGGCTGTCCTGCCCCCTATGTGGCCAATGCAGACCCTGGAGGCCACCTCCTAAGCTGGCCGCACACCCTCGACACAGGGCCAAGGTGTGGATGCCCATCCATCTGATCCATCCAGTGGAGGGGCCTGAGCTTCTCCAGACCCAGACCCCACCTGACCCCACCTGACCCCAGCCCCTTGGGAGGGCTTTGTGCCAAAGCTGCCCTCCAGGTGGGCTAATGCTCCCCTCTAGCTGCAGGCCCAGCTGCAGACCACCGAGGCCCGGCTGCGGAGGTCAGAGCTGGAGCACAGCGTGGACCTGGAAGAGGCACTGGGCCGACTGGAGGCTGCAGAGCAGAGGTGAGGCCAGGCAGGCACAGCAGTCAGGGCTGCAGGGAGCTCGGCCATCACCTCAAGAGGCAGTGGACCCCACTGTGCCTTAAAGCTGAGGGCCAACCTGCTCCCAAAGTGGCTCTAAGTCGAATTCGCCTGTAAGAGTCAGCTGCAGGCTTTAGGGCTTGGGGTGGGGGGGGGAGCAGGCAGGGGAAGGAGGGGGTAGAGCAGAATGGGGAGTTGATGGCCTCGGGCGTGGGGTGCAGGTCCGACAGGCTATGAGGGTCTCCCTGCCCCTACTCCTCGAGTGTGCCCCCCAGGCCCCTGATGCCTGCTATGGCTGGTGCTCTGGCCAGCACTGCAGCCGACTAGCCCTCGGGTGGCCCAGCCCGTCCTGGGGTGCCCATGGTGCTGTCCTCGAACCCACTCTTCATGCTCTGGCCCTGACTCCCAGGCTCCTTTGGCCTTGGTCACTCTGATTTCATGGTCAGGGGCTCATTTGTTCACTGTGGTGAGCATGTGTGATACCCTAGCCTCGCAGGGGTAGCCCCTGCACCCCTGGACCCCCAAGCCTCAGGACACGGTCCCAGAAGGGCAGGGCACCCCTCCAGCTCTCTGCCCAGAGGAGCTGAGCCCTCAGTGTCTCCACCTGCAGCCCTGGGGAGGTCCAGGCCCGTGGAGTTCTTCCACTTCCCGCACTCGCCCATCCCAGGGGACCGGAAAGGGAGGAGAGTGCCGGGAAGCCCTTCGCAAACTAGTTTTGAGGGGGGCATAATCCGAGTGGAGGCTCACACCCCAGGAGCAGAGAATGTCCTGCCATGGCCTCGCCGCCTGGCAGGGAGATGCTGGCTGTGGAGGGTGGGTTTGGCATCCCTCCACACACAGGCCTGTCCTGGGTGGAGAAGGCCCCCAGGTCACGGTGGGGGGCTGCCCCTCCCTGTTCTCACCTGCCCCACTGCAGGGACGGCAGCACCCCCTAGCCCTGGTACCCTGGCCAGGGCTCCCAGCCCTGCCCCTCTTTCTTGTCTCGGGGTTCACCTCTGCACCTAGGATTGAGGAGCCCGCCACAGTTGTGGGGGCAGAGCCAGGAAAGCTCAGAGGGGAGAAAGAGGGGGCCAGGGTGGCATCCAGATGTTGGCCCAGTTTGGGGGCCATTGGGGACCCACTGCATATGGTCAGTGCTGCTTAGGGGCATGCAGGGAGCTGCACCCTGAGCTGGTATCGGCTGGGCCCAGGAGGTTCAGGGCCGGTCTCCGAGCCTCTCTAAGCAGAGCCACCTGCCCACACCACCACTGTGGTTCCCGCCCGCCCAGGAGCACCGGCCTCTCCCAGGTGAACACGCTTCTGAGGGAACAGCTGGAGCACATGAAGAAGGCCAACGACGCGCTGGCTGAGGAGCTGGCCCGGACGACGGGCAGCGTGCTCCACCTGAGGGGCGAGCTGGAGCTGAGGGAGGCTCAGCGCTGGACCGAGAGACAGGTGCTCCCTCGGCCTCCACCCATTGGCAGGGATACTTGCTCCCGTGCCCGTGGCTGCTGGGGGCATGGGCAGCAGGGACCAGGACAGGGGAAGCTGGCTTCAGCCATGCTTCCTTCTGAGGGCAAGGCACTGGCCTCCTGCCATGCCACATCCCCCACACTGCTTGGCCACAGCAGTCTGCAGAGTGGGGGGCGCCCCACAGTAGGGAGACTTCCTGCTTGAGAGAAGGAGGGCAGGACCGAGGCCAGACCTGGAAAGTAGGGGCTGGAGTCCTGGCTCTAGCATGCCCATCTGTTCTGGAGGCCTGCCTCCTGGGCAGGATGCAGCACGTGGCTCCGCGCCCCTGGCCAGCAGGGCCACGAAGCCTTGCCTGGTCACAGTTGTCTGAAATCCTAAGCCCTGGGGGCAGGGGTGGGGGTGGTTAAGTGCTGCAGGCGCAGCCTCGGCAGGAAGGAGAAGCTGTTCCTCCTCACAGGTGGTCACCGACAGCAGGACTTTCAGCCTGAGAGGGGTAACATTTGAGACGGATCACGCCCCATGCCCTGCCGTCCACGTCTTCGCAGAGAGCTGGGGGACAGGTCTGAGCTGGTGTGGCTCTGGTTTATCAGGGTCTTTACCTCCCCTTGCCCTTAAGACCTGATCTCGCTGGCTGGCAGATGTGTTCTCTCAGCAGCCCCAAGACACCCTTTCTGCCTCTGGCTTCCAGCCCCTTTGATCCTGACCGAGTCCTGGGGAAGGCCGTCTGCCTCCTCCCTCTGGCTGCTGTAGGATCTCGGCTTTGGCTCTGCTGTCCTGCAGTTTCACTGCAATGTGTCTGTGTGGAGGTTGCTGTTTGTCTGTCCTGCTGAGGCTTCATCAGGACGCTGTGTTTTCGTGATTTTGGGAAAGTGTCCATTACTCTGCACACTGCCTCCTCTCCGGCCTGAGTGTGTAAGCCATTCTCATGCTCCCTCCGTGCTTCTTAACTACCTGCCCACATCGTCTTTCTCTATTCCCTGATCTATATTCTAGTTAATTTCGTCAAATCCACCTTCCTGGTCATCAGTTTTCTCTTCAGGTGTCCAATCTGTTAAACTTGCCTACTAGGCTTCCATTCCAAATATTGTATTTTTCATCCTTAAGAGTTCCGGTGAGTTCTTCCCCAAATATCTTAGTCTTTCCTCCTGTTTCCAGCCTGCCATGTCCATGCTGGTGCATAGCAACGGCAGTTGTCTTGTAGCCGTGTGTGATGTCTCGTATCTGAGGTTTAAGGTCTGCCTCCACTGCTCCTGCCACCACTCCATGTGCTTGGTGCCTTGTGTCTTTGGTGATGTCTTCATTTTTTTTTTTAAAGTAGGAGCTGCTTATTTCTCTCTGAACTTTGTGAAAATTCTTTGACACCTGGGATGAATGTGGTATCTTCTAGAGAGCATTTTTATTTGCTTCTGACAGGTGCTTACAGCTTCTGACAGACTTTGGGACCACATTAAAGTTAATTTTCAGCTTCAGTTTTCTGAAAGCACCCAGTTATGTGAACGCAGGCTGAAAACTGGACAAATGCTGTCTGGGCCACAGGGAAGGTAGTTTTCCCTCCTGACTTAGTGCACCCAGGCTGCCATAGCAAACCCCACAGACGGGGGGCTTATAAACGCATTCATTTCTCACAGTTCTGGAGGCTGGAAGTCTGAGATCAAGGTGCTGGCAGATTTGGTTACTGGTGAGGGCCCCTTCCTGGATCGCAGACCTTCTCAGGATAACTTCACGTGGCAGAGGGGCGGGAAGCTCTCTGGGCCCCGTTATAAGGACACTAACCCCATTACTAGAGCCCCTCTCATGGCCGCATCACCTCCCAAAGTTCCGCCTCTGACATCAACACGGTGGGGTTGGGAGTTCAACATATGAATTGGGGGATACAAGCATTTGTGTGTGTGAGCGTGTGTGCGCGCGCGTGCATGCGTGTGCATGTGTTCGTGTGTGAGAGCACGTGTGTGTGTGTGTACTAGTTCACCCTCAAGTTTACTCACCTCTAGCACACCTTACACAGAGTGCCACTTCGGGGTATCACTTCTCTGTGTGACTAGATTCCCCCGATTGGGTGGCCTCTGGGCTTTACTCTCTCTCCCCCGAGCCCCTGAGGTCAAGGAAATGTGTTGAAGTTGCTCCATTTGGCAAAAGCTGCCTACGTACCTCTGACTTTATCGGTTTCTGGCCTGCGTGTTCCTCACCACGCGGGCCAGCCCAGCCTCCAGTTCAGGACTTGTGAAGTGTGGAATCTGAAGGATGTAGGTGTAGTTACTTCGAAGGCTGGTCCGGGCAGCCGCTCCTGCACTTACCGGGCAAGCAGCTTATTCCACACATACACCGAGGACCCTAGTGCCAGGCACTGAGGGGCACTCCCTCCACAAGGCGCCCAGCAAAGTGTTTGGGCCAATGAGGGGACCTGGGACGTGGGGTCAGGGCAGGGGGTCAGCAAAGGCTTTTCCTGAAGGAAAAGGGCCAGGCCACACACCTGGACATCTTAGGAGCCCTCCCAGATAAAAGCCACCCTCCACTCTGGAGAAGGAGGCAGAGCCTGTACCCTGTGTGTGTGTGGGTGGAGGGGGGGAGGTTTAAGGGGGTGCACGCGAGCTGAGGGCTGCAGAGGTGCCTCCCACTCCAGAGGGCCAGGCTGAGTGGGTCCTGCCCTGGGCAGAAGCTGAGTGTGGTCACCTTCACAGGTCCTCTGGGGATGGCAGATTGCATTATTGTGAAAGAGGAGCCCATTGGGCTGCAGGACGGTTTGGGGTGTGGGGTCTGGCCAGTGTGACAGCGAGAGGAACGGGTCGCAGGGCTTCTCACTTCCCAGGCCTGGGCCTGCACCTGAGGTGGGCACGGGCCCCTTCCTTTCAGACCCGGCGTTCACACCTTGGGGTGCAGCCCCAGGACTTCCTCCTCCTGTGGAGACAGGTGACAGCGCTCCGAACACACGTGGCTGAGCTTCGATCTGCCTCTGAGAGGTGAGCCAGCTGCCCCATCGGGGTGTAGGAGAAGGAGCATCTGATGGTGGCCCAGGTATTGGGCCCTCCAAGCTGCTCCCATGGAGGAGCTGTTCTGGCTCACAAGCCACTGCCCCAGCCCTGCTGGGCCTCAGGGTCCCTGTGGGGTGGAGGGTGGTAGGGTTGAGAAGCACTAAAGCACAGAGGGAGAGAGGGGGTGCAGGGCAGAGATGACGGAAGGGGAGGAGCTACACGGTACAATTTCCAGTTCCTCTAGTCCTTGCCAGGCACCTCTTGGGTCTGCCCTGGATTATTGAGGGACCTGTCAGCCCCTCGTCTGCACACAAGGAAACTGGGCTCAGAGGGTCCATGTCCTCTGTGGCCTTGCTGAGCCCTTGCTCACCCCTCTCTGGCTGTGACATGGGGACCGTTGGTAACACACAGTAGGGTCCTCTCCTGAGAATGGGGGCGGGGGAGGGTAAGGGGGTCTGCTGAGGGCAGAGAGCAGGACCCATGTGACCATACCCTGCCCCTCCTAGCCAGTGGGACACCTTCAGGGCCCTGAGCCCACAGCTGGCCCTGAGGTTCAGCTGGGGGTGCTGCCTTGTCTCTAGGAGTCTCACTGACATGCAAGCAGAGGCAGCCAGGACAGCCCGGCGCCTGCACACGGCCTGCCTGAACCTCAACTCCAACCTGCAGCTGTCGGCCAGCAGCTCGGCAGGTGCCCTGGAGCGGCAGGCCTTGCAGGGTGCTTGGCTGGAGCAGCAGCTGCGGGACAAGGTGCGGGAGATGCTGCAGCTGCAGGGCCGCTGGGACACGGAGAAGGTGGCACTGCAGGCCAGGTGGGTGCCTGAGAGGGTTATCGCACAGCGGAGGTCAGAGTGGGGGCACCCTGCGCCCCCTTCCTATCTGCCCCGCAGCCAGGGTTCCAAGTGATAGGCAGTTGTTATTCCAGCTGCCACATGACATTCCCACAGGTAGGCAAGCCCAAACTCCTTCCAGCCCTGCAGGCCAAAGTTAGAGCTCCCCAACTTGGAGGGTCTCCGTGGACACTGCATTGGACACACGTGGACTGTCCTTGGGGCTACAGGCACGTCCTTCAGGAGCAGGCGCTTGCTTTGGGGTCAACTGTTTGAGAAGCAGAAGCAGGCAGTGGGCCGGGCCCATCTGGGGTCCATGAGCCTCAGAGGAAGCATGGGATGGTCTGTACACAGAACCCGCATCGAGGGCTTGAAGTATGTTTCCTTCAGCAGAAAACAGGGAAATAGCTCCCCACTGAAGGCCACAGGGCACAATTCCACAGAATCTGCGTGCCTGGGGCTCACATGGCCACAGACACCCTGCCAGCTGACAGGATGGGGCCCGCCCTGCCCTCAGGGGGGCAGGAGTTCATGGGGTGCGGGTAGTCCCGTACATCCTGCAGGGCAGCACTCAGGGCCCCAGTTCTCAGAGCAGAGTACTCTGGGGTCATGGGAAAGGAGATCCAGGTGCCATGGGGAGTCGGGAGAAGAAGGTGGGTCCTGGGAAGGGACAATAACATCTTCACTCACTGTTAGACTTGCGGTGGCAGAGGTAGTCCAGGCAGGGCAGTGGCGGGCAAAGGCCCCCGATGAGCGCTGCATCTGCTGGCCCCAAGGACAGGGCAGGGCCTCAGGAGCTGAGTCAGGGTCAGCCTGGGCCCCTGGATCCTGACCTTGGGGTCTGTGCTTTACTCTCAAGACAGTGGGAGCCATTGAAGGTTCTAAAGTAGCAGAGAGGTGTCTGACCAGACCAGGGACTGAGGTCCACTCAGACAGATGTGGCCAATGCCTGAGGCCCGGCCACACCACAGGAGGTATCTGATTCAGCCAGGGAGTCTTCAGGGCCCACCCGTGCCTTGGGCTCTGTGCTCTGTGCTGACCACCCTGCCCCCCACCCCCGACTTTTCTGCAGACTCTCCGAGCAGAAATTGCTGGTGGAGAAGCTCACAGAGCAAAACTCGGAGAAGGAAAGAACCATTTCTTCCCTCAGAATGGATGTTCAGAGACTAGTGCGTGGGGCTGGGGACGTGGTGGGGTGTGGGGGCTCTGGGGCCGGAGCGTCGGCCGCCCTGCTGAGGGGTCTGCCTGGGCACAGGAATCCTGGCGCAGTGGAGGCCAGCTGGCGGCAGACAACCTGAAGGAGGAAGTGAAGTCCCTGCGGCGTGTTTTGAACATCATCACAGAGGTGCAGGCCATCTTGGGTCCCGGGGGGTCCCGCTGATGTGTGGGATAATCTGGGAGGTCCCCACTGGACATGGCCCTGAGCGCTCTCCCCACACTGTGAAGGTGGCCCAGGCAGACTCGAGGTGCCCAGAGCTGGCACAGAGCAGCAGCACTGACAGGGAGAAGGCACAGAGACCACTGAGGAGCCCTCCACGCACCTCGTCCCTTCACTGGGGTGCATCTCCACCACGGGCCCACTCCCGGGCCAGCCCAGACCCTGCGCTGCGGGCTGTGCAGGCAGCTATTGAGAGGAGGCGGCAGCAGGAACAGGTGGGCAGCCACCGGAGCTGTACCCTGGGCCCCACGGGGATGTGAAACCTGTGGGGCTGGCAGGTGTTGCCATAGGATCTGCCTCTGAGCCCCACAGCCCCAGGGAGGGGGCTCTGCCCTAGGTGCATCCTTTCTGGGGTGTCTGTGGTCAAAGGCCTGCCCAGGCCGGAGGGAGCTCATGCTTCCTCCCTCCCACCCCACCCCGAGCAGGAGCTGCGTCTACAGCTGAAGTCCTCCCAGGCGGTGACGGCCAGGCTCCGGGAGCAGCTGTCAGAGAGGCAGCGGGAGCTGCGAGCCTCCCGGAGGCTCCTGCAGGAGCGAGAGCAGGAGCGGGGGGACCTCCTGGACAGGCTGGAGGCACAGAGCCAGAAGGCACAGCACTTCAGGGCGGCCAGCGAGCTCCTGGGAAGGTGGCTGGCCTGAAGGCTGGGCAGGGCGGGTGAGCTGTCTGGGTCAAGGTTGGACAGAGCGGGCGTCCCAGCTTGGGGGCGCTTCCCCCACAAACCTTCCACATAGGAGGGAGTGGGTCATGATTCCTGGGGACAGGTGGGCCCCTCAGCATGGAGGGAACATGGCCAGATTTAAGGGGCATTTGGGAAATGGAGGCCTCGGGGTGCAGCTGAGGTTCAGGTCCCTGGCGGAAGGGTGACATGCGGCAAGGACTCGGAGTGGGTCAGCGTTGAGCACAGCCTCACACAGGGAGCTGGATCTGGAGGGCCCGGGCCCTGTCAGGACAGGTGAGCAGTACAAGCAGATGTGCAGCTGGAAGGTGCAGGTGGAGAGATGTCTCTTCCATCCAGCAAGTTCTGCGAGGACTGGTGGAGCCGGGCCTGTGGGTGGCAGAGGGCTGAGCACAGGGCTGCACCAGGAGCCTTTGCGTTTTAAGGACTCCCAAGGGCCACCAGGAGGGGACAAGCTGCTGGCCACCCCACCTTGCAGGCTGTCCTGGGGCTGGAGGTTACTGGTTCTTCCTCGTCCCTCCCCACACTTCCCTGAGCTCCTGCCCCCAGGGGCCCTCAGGCCTGGTGCCCACCCTGCCCTGCACATCCTCCTGGCAGTGGGCTGAGGCTGGAATGTACCCCGTGTGGGACTCCCGGCTCCCCTCCTCCAAGGCTGCCCCAACCTTGGCCTCCCCTGCTCCCAGAGAGAAGAAGGCTCTGGAGTTGGAGATGGAGGAGCTAAGGGGCAAGATGGATGTTTGGGACATGGACAAGCAGAAGCGGGAGGCCGAGATCGCTGAGCTGCAGAGAAGCCTCCTGCTCTGGACACAGCAGAAGGAGGAGCTGGAGCAGCAGGGCGAGCGGGGCCGCAGGGAGCTGCAGACCAGGTGGGCCTCAGCGTCCTCATCCACTAAGGGGACCGCTTCCTTAGCAACCTTGTTTCCGGGAGTGGGGGCACCCACCGAGACAGTGGGGGTGACAGGCTCTCCAGGCTTCCTGCAGGCTGAGCCATCGCCCAACACCCACCCAACACCCGCCCAGTGCCTGCCCCAGCAAATCCACCACCTCGGGCCCAGGAGAGGGGGTGCCCCCAGCATGTGTGCACCCAGGTGAGTCCACTGAGGCATGGACAGAACCCCACCCCCAGCCGGGAAACAGGGTCCTGGTTCGGATGCCACCCTGTGGACTCACCAAGTACAGGCCTCCAGAGTGACCTGGGCTCCTCTGGGGCTCCCTGGGCTTGGAGGAAGTTGCAGGCGGCCACCCTGCCTGCTAGGTCCTGTGAGGTGGCCTGTCTTGCCTTGAGCCAACCTCACACCATCTACCTCTGATTTGGGGACCTTAGTCAAGGGCGCCTGGAGCAGCTGGAGGAGAAGGTCTCAGGGCTCAAGAAGGAGCTGGTGTCGGCCCGGGAGGCACTGAATGCAGCCCGGCTACAGAGGGACGTTCTGGAGAGTGAGAGGGAGGCCCTGCATGGCACGCTGGCTCGGGTATGCCTCTGTCTCCCACCTCCCACATGTCTCTCCCACCAGGCCATCCTTCACTTCTCCTGGCCGCAGCTTTAGTGCTCGGGGGCTGCTGTTTACCCTGGAGGCCTCCTCACTGTGGGATTCCCTTCCCACACCCATCCTACCCAGACCTCCAGCTTGCACACCTCCATGACGAGGGGCTCACTCCTTCCCTGGCACCAACAGCTCTGCCGGGGAGAAAGTTCCTCCTGTGAATCTGAAAGTCCCTCCCTGGCATCCCCCCTCAGGGTGACCACTACCCCTCCCCCCCGCAACCCTAGGCTGAGTCCAGCAATGCTGACCTGGAATTGCTTGTGACCCGGCTGAAGTCAGAGGGGGTGCAGCAAAGGGACTCCCTGGCCAAGATGGCCACCCTGATGGAGGGCCTGGCGAAGGACAAAGGCAGCCTGACCCACCAGGTCCTGCAGGTGAGACGAGGGCCATGTGAGAGCCCTTCCCCTGAGCCTCATTCCCCAGGGTGGCCCTGAGACTCAGTCCCAGCTCTGGTCTCTGAGCCTAAAATCCTCCCTGCACCCATCTCCCCCCACCTCTTCCATTCCTGGACTGATCACAGGTGTGTGGGGAAGAGGCCCACATAGGGACAGTGGGCCTGTGGAGGGAAGGCCACACACACCAAGGCAGTCCATGGAGGCACAGGTGTGTGGGGCATGGGCCTGGAGGCACAGGTGTGTGGGGCATCCCCCCCCCCCCCGGCAGCTGCAACAGGAGGGGGACCAGCTGCGGGAGCAGGAGCAAGTGCTGAGGCAGGAGCGGGCAGACGCCAGGGAGCGGTTGGCATTGGCAGAGCAGCAGCTGGAGCAGCTGGAGGGGCAGGCAGACCGGCTCCAGCGTGAGAGAGCCCAATTGCAGGAGCAGGTGGGCCAGGTGAGAGGTCTGCAGGGGCTCCTGGCTCTGGCCCCACCCTGCGGGCCATCCCTTTCCCTCTGTGGTGTGGACGGGTCACAAGTCACCTTGCCACGTCACACTGGCTCAGGATGTCAGCACCGGCGCTTTCTGACTGCAGTGCTGCCTGACTTGGCTGCATTCAAAGGCAGGTTCCCTGTGGTGGGGGGAGAAGACAGGGGGTGGGTATGCAAAGAAGAACCTTTACATCATACCTGCCACCAATCCCAGGGGCTGAGTTCTGCCCCTCATTAGGGGTCAGAGGCCCAGTGATTCCACACACTCAGGGCTCAAAGGCTTCACTGCTTCTTCCTGTATGTTGTTGCCTTTCATCCGCAGCTGGACTCACTTATTCACTCGATCACTGATTCCCAGGTCTTCTATTGACATAAATATTGTGTTGAGGAGGAGGCCACACTCAGGGGGCAGTTACACTGAAGCAATTTTGCTATTTTCTGGGCCCCCAGTGGCATTCAGACTCCATGGCCCCTGTCACCTACCTTTGGGACTCAGCGCAGCCTCTTTTGGCTTCTGAGACTCTGTCGTGTCCCTTTTTCAGTCATTGGTTCCTCTATATTTAATTACACGGTTATATCCAATATGCCAGTGTACAGTTCAGTGAGGTTTGACAGCTCCGTGCACCTGTGTAGCCACCACTGAGACCAAGATGTAGATCTGCTCCACCAGCCCAGCCCATTTCCTCATGCTCCTCCAGGCACCCCACCCCTGGCAGCCTCTGCTCTGCCACGTACCACCAAGACTGGTGTCGCCTGTTTTAGAGCTTTTTGTAAATGGAGTCACAGTACAGATGCTTTTGTGTCCAGCTTCTCTATGTCTACAGGGCTTTGAGATCCATCCATAATGTTAGGTGAATCAAGAGTGTGTTCTTTTTCACTACGTAGTAATATTCCATTGTACAAATAAACGACATTTCCATACCTATTCACCTGTGGCTGGGCATTTGGGTTTGGGGCGATAATGGACAAGACTGGTATGAACACTTGTGTATATATTTTCATTTCTCTTGAGTAAATATATAGGAGTGAAGTTGTGGAGTCATTGGATAGGTGTGTGCTGAACTTTAGAAGAAACTGCCAAGCAGTTTTCCAAAGTGGGTCTATCATTTCACTCTACCACCAACAGTGGGGAGACTTCCATTTGCTCCTTGGCCTTGTCAACACTTGGTATCATCCATTTTTACTTTTTAGCTCTCCCATGTGTGTGGAGTTATATATCATTGTGGTTTAGTTTACATCTCTTGATAACAGGAGATGTTGAGCACATTTTCATGTTATCTGGGAATAACAAAGTTCACTTTTTTTATGGCTTCAGTGCTTGTATTTCTTCTTCTCTCTGTGCACTGACTAAAGGCCAACAGAACAAAGTCAATAAGAAGTGGTGAGTGGCCTTCCTTCCACCAATGACAATAATAGGAAAAAATTCAATATTTCACCCTCAAGTATGATATTATCTGTAGGCATTTTATAAATGTCTCTTATCAGATTGACAATGTTCCCTTTTGCTTAAATCCAGAGCCTTTGCATTCTGTTAACATTTTTTCTGTATCTATTAAGATGATCATGTCATTATTCTCACTCGGTTAATGTGATGAATTATATTGGTTAATTTTTTAATGTTAAACCAACCTTGTCTACCTGAGATAAACCCTACTTGGTCATAAGTTAACAGATATTTTATATATCTTTCAATTAAATTTCATAATATCTTGTGAAAGACTTTTGCATGTTTATTCATGAGGAATGTTGGTCTGTAATTTTCTCCTCTCATAATGTTTTTGTCAGATTTGGAATCAGGGCCTCATAAAGTAAGTTGGAAAATATTTCCTCCTCCTCTGTTTCTAGGGAAGTGTTTTAAAAATTGGTGTTATTTTTTTCTAAATGTTGGTAGGATTCACTAGTGAAGAATTTTCAGTAACCACCATAGGCTTGCCCCAATGACAGTGACGGGGTCCCACTCACCTGCTCCACCATCCCACTGTGGCCAACGCCCACCATGTTCCACACACACACCCTGGTGGTCAGTGCATGTCATAGTGACTGGTTGTTCAGTTGTTCGTTGTTCCACTGTTCGGTCTATTTGCATATTCAGGTTTTATATATATAGATTCCACCATCCTCTGACTTTCATTGTTGCTATTTGGAAGTCAAATGTCAGACTTATTGTTGCTCGTTTAAATGTAATGTCTCAGGGGAGGGGGGTTTGCCCCTCTGATTTTAAAGATATTTTCCTTTATTTTGGTATTTGGAAACTTAGAACTAAGATATATCTATGTGACATTTTCATTGTCTTTATCTTTTTAGGGTGTTATGGCTCATTTTAAATCCGTGGCTTGATGCATTTTATTAGATTTGCCAAATTTCTGTCTAGTATCTGTTCAAATATTCTCTCTCCTCTCCCTCTGCAGCTTCAATTATACATATGTTAGGCCTTGCCCTATGTGTCTGTGACACTTTTTTCTGTATTTTCCATCATTTTTTCTTTTCATGATTCAGTCTGAATACATTCTTTTGTCTGTCTTCCAGATTATTAGACCTCTGTCTAATCTGTCATTGAAACATTATATTTATTGCCGAAACTGGTTTGGCTCAGTGGATAGAGCGTCGGCCTGCAGACTGAAAGGTCCCAGGTTCAATTCCGGTCAAGGGCATGTGCCTTGGTTGCGGGCATATCCCCAGTGGGGGATGTGCAGGAGGCAGCTGATCAATGTTTCTCTCTCATCGATGTTTCTAACTCTCTATCTCTCTCCCTTCCTCTCTGTAAAAAATCAATAAAATATATTTTTAAAATTAAAAAAAAGAAACATTATATTTATTAATTTTGCTTATTGTATTTTTAAATTATGTTGTTTATATTTTGTTTCTAGTTCTATGGTAAAATTCTACATCTTGCCATTCACATTCTTGAACATTTAATCACAGCTATTTTAAAGTTTAAAGAGGCAGGGAGGTGTCTGTGTTTATTTGATGTTCTTACACATGGTTTTTGCCATGTGATCTTATCTCCTGATATTCCTGGTAATGTTGATCAAATGTCAATTATCATATTTTAAAACTATAGATATAATTTGGTGATGCTATTCTTCCAGAGAGGATTTACTTTTGATTCTAGCAGGTAGTGAGGGTAGATGATCACCATAATCCGTGATTGAGGGATGGTCTGTTCTGATCCACCTCTATTACTAGGGTGAAGCCCTTCTGTACATACAACTAGAAACCTGGGGTGTTTATCAGGATCCTTCTGCTTCAAAGGCTCTGAATTTAAGTTTTTGGCCCCCTGTGATCATAATATTGCCAGAAGCTATCCTTGACGTCCCAATTTCTCAGGCTAAACTTTTAAATCAGCACATTCTCTGAAGAGGGACAAGATACCTAATGGTGGGCTCAATCCCTTCTCTCCAAGATCTCAGATCCTTCCATCCCAGCTGACCTGGAAGCTCCCCAGGCCTTACTCAGATTCCATGATGTATTTAATCTAGATTTTTGTGATGTTCTTGGTGGAAGTGTTAGTCTGTAGCAACCTGGTCCTCTGTCACCTTCTACTGCCATTTCTGTGCAATTTTTCCTGCCCCCTGGACACTTGTGGTCTAACCAAGATTACCATGTAGACTGGAAGCTGGGCATGCTCAGTTCAGTAACTCCTCCATCGTGGTCACAGGCGTGGAGGCCCCTCTACTGTGTTAGCACGTGAGCACTCTGAGGTCCCATGTGTCTCATATTCACTCTCCTCTACCTTTTCTTCCACGCCATTCTGCATGATACCACTTCTTCTGAAGTCCTGCTTTTCCCTGAAGAGGCCCCGCTCACCCTCCCACTCTCTCTTTCTCTGCTGGACTCTCCCCTTCCCCCTCCTCTAGGTCACATGCAAGAAACAGGCCCTGGAGGAGCAGCTGGCCCAGAGCCTGAGGGACCAGGAGGCCCAGATGGACACTCTCCGGACGGCCCTTCAGGAGAAGGAGGCTTTGTTGGAGGAGCGAGTTCAGCTGCTGGCCAAGCAGGAGGCCCTGGAGAGGCAGGGCCGGCTCACGGCTGAGGAGGCAGCTGATCTCAGGTACCCAGGGGCCTATGGGCAGGGTGTGTGTGCCTGGCCTTGCCTCAGAGAGGCTGCAGTGTGGCAGGGGGCAGGCATTCACCTAGCAATGGTAGGGCAGGGAGGGTATGTTTACACGGGAGAGAGACTGTGAGTGAGGTGGACCCAGTGAGAGTCCTGGGGTGACCTTTCTGTGAGAGGTGGCTGCACTGGCCAGGTGGCAAGTTGCAGAATGACAACATGGAATGTCTTACTCGTGGATCTGAGAAGTTTAAGGTATACGTGGCTTCAGGCGAGGCTGGATCCAGGTACTCCCACAGTGCCCGCAGGACCCTGCCTCTCCCCCCTCAGTGCTGCTCCATCCTGAGGAGGTCTGGTCCAGGGGCTCAGGGTGAGAGGTGGCAAGATGGTCAGTGGCTACTCCAGGCTTCCTCCTCTAGCAGACACAGAGTGCCCTTCTCCCCACAAGGCCCAAGAGTTACTGCCATTAACCATCCTGAGCTACTTCATGTCCCTGAACCAATTCAGTGAGTCACAGGGCTCAGATTGGCTGGCCGGGTCATATGCTCATCCCTGGAGTGGGGGGTGGTGTCAGCCCCAGGGAACCACCAAGCAGAGAGTGGGGCCACAGTGAGCTCAGTGACCATGGGGCCACTTCCAGAAGACATGGAATGGGCACTTTAGGCAACACCAGGGGTGCCCTGTGGGCTGTTGCCTGGTGAGCTGACCTGGTCCCGTAGCCTCTGGACCTTTTGGACCCTTCTCAGGAATAACCGAGTACTTTTCTAGAAAAGATTTCCTCCTGCAATGCCAGCATCTGGGGGTCCTTGTACATCTTCTCAGACAATCCTCTCCTCAAAATGAAAGCTTTTGGAAATTGATAAATGAAAGCTTGGTGGAAATTGATAAAACTTGACGAAGGCTGGGGTAGGTTGTCAGAAGCAGAGGGTCACAGGACCCTGCCCACCGCCTCCTAGGCCCACAGTGCTCAGAGGGCAGTGTGGTTGGAGGCCCTTTTCCTCCCACCAGCATGTGCTGCTGGATCATGGGCCCTGGTCAGTGGTTTCGGGAACCTGGGATCCTGCACCAACTCAAGCCTGACTCCTGGGCCCAGGACCCCTGCACAGTCACATGCCCACCAAACAGCATTTCAGGATGACCCATCTGAGCTGCTGATGACAGGGCTGCTCGGGACTTGTCCCGAAACCATGTCTGCCTGGCACAAGCGGTGTGTGTTTATTTCACTGGGTGGGACTCTCTGGCCGCCTGTTTTCATGAGTTCCCAGACCGTATTGATGACCGCTCAGTGTGAGCGGTCCTGCTCCAGGTCTCCTGGTGAAACCTCCATGGTCAGCTGGATGTGGGAGGACCCCAGGCCCTGGGGACACTCCCTCAGTTCACAGGGTGCCAGCGTGCTGTTCAGTCTGGGAGATGGACTAGGTTCCCTGCCTGCATACCCCACGCTCACCCTGGCTGGCCTCAGGAGGCTGAGCCGCCTGTGGGCTCCTGTGGAGGGAAAGACTAGACATGCCCTTAGATTCCGGCCTCCAGGCGCAGATTCTGAGCAGCAGAGGAGACCTGGAGGGCCTCTGGGAGGAGGAAGGTTCTGGGTAGGGAAAGCAGTCTAGGTAGAGAGAGTGGGGAACATGTGGGTGCTGACCAGGTAGGGACTGGAGGGGAACCAGGGTCTCAGAGAAGCGAAATTTCTGGGCTGTGCAGGTATCGGGCCCCTGGAAGGTGTGGAAGTGCCCAACCCCCAATAGTGGTGGTAGTGGTGTGCAGGGGGAACCTAGCGAGGCTGCCCAAGGCCCACGGCCTGCCCTGGCTCATGGGCTATCGTGGGGCTGCGCAGTGGCCATTTGTGTGCTCGTGTGGGTATTTGTGTTCAGTGTCTGTGGGGTGCCCATGTGTATGTCACCCAGCACGGCAGAGCAGAGCAACACTTAAAACATGCTCGCTGGCTGGTTGATGCTAGTGGGTTGGCTGTGTTCAAGCCACCTCCCCAGAAATGGGGGCTGCTGTCAGGGCTGTGCTCGTCCCAGGTGTCTTCTGAGCGTTCGCATGGGTGCAGAGGCGCGAGGCAGCTTCTCCTATAACGGAGCCACACGTGTGAGGTTCTGCTTCTCAGAGCAACTCTTTAGGTGATAAAAGTTTCCTCATCCTCCTTACGGCTGACAATGTGCCGTCATTTCCACAACACTCTGCCATCCGCCAGCTCTGAAGACAAGTGCAGTTCTCCCGCCACAGTGAGCACCCTGTGCAGCGTTGTTGGTCCAGTGTGTTTCTAAGGTGCTAACACCTGAAGGTGGGGTTGCTGCTAGAGGTCAGGCACCCTAACCAGCACTGGGTATCATTGTTTCAGTCTTTTGGTAATGGAATGCCTGGTTGTGGTTTTAATTTCCTTGAGTACTGAATAAGGTTAGCAAGTTTCATATGTTTATTAACCATCTGTGGATTTTTTTGTGAATAACAGTCATTTTTCTCATTTTTCTGTAGAGTCAGCTGACTTTCTGTCATTGATTAGTAGGAGCTTTTTGTATATGATGGATATGGACCCTGTGTATATTTAGTGCAGATTTTTTTCTCTTCAAGTCTGTGCCTGGTGTTTTAAGTTGGTTTGTGGAATCTTTTCTGCATGAAAGCTCTCCCTCCCTATCTTTAAGTATATTCAGACCTATCAGCTTCTTTATTTTTATCTTCTGTTGTTTGTGTCTTTCTTAAGAAGATTATAAAATACCCTTTCTGTATTTTTTTCTACCACCTTTACAGT